TATTATCATTACTCATTCATCGTTTATGATTCGGATTACACGGTTTTTAGACCAATTCCTATCTTAATTTTTTACAGCGCTTTACATGGATTCGTCTTTCGGGGCATAGTTTGACTCATTCGGCGTTTATCTTTCTGTTTATACCTAACTTTTTATACCTTAAATTACGAGACGCTTTGTTTGGATTATTCTTTCGTGGAGTTAATTTATTTCATTCGTCGCCCTTTATTTCGGTTAAACCAATTTTTACTTCAACATTTTGAAATTCTATTCAAGATTTGTTTAATGTTTTAGAGTATACGCTTTTATACTAGTTTTTAATCTTTTCATCATTCGTATTGTAGTTATACGTCTTGTTTGCTTTACTGTCACTATTTGCCTATTTTTTATGTCTTCGGGCTTGTTTTAGCTATGTATGTCACATTGAATGACGAATATGGACGACATGTAAAAGGGCGTTAATTTATTGTGTTTAAATAAGAATATATCAGTGATTGGTCGTCGTCAGTAGACAAAGTTTGTTGTGGAAAAGAATGATATAAGAAAATAATCTTTTCAAAAGTTTCACTTACGGTTTTTTCGACAAGATTTTCAGTTCGAAGATTTGATTATTTTAGTGCAAATATTGTAAAAATTATCAAGGAATATGTACATAAGGTTTTAATTGCTTTACGCTCCAAAGTCTTATGTTGCCTATTTGGCTCTGTTTACTGACGAAAAATGTAAAATGCTAAGCTAAATGTAAAAGCTAGCTAAAAAGTGTATTAGGACTAAATTTAAGTCTAGACCTCCACTTTCCTGGTAACACTATGAGCCATCTAATGGGCTCTGTGAAATATGGCATATGTATGTACATATGTATATTCGAAACAGATGCGATTCAGAGTTGTTAGCAAATTGTCCAAAATTACCAAAAACAATTTTTGCTTTCTAAATAATCAAATACATTATATGGATAGCAAGTTATTTTAAATAGCTCAGAAACCTATACGAACCGTGTAAGCTTGAAAGGAGCACAATAAAATATTCGTAGCTTTAGGTCTTTAGACTTTTTTCACTTGCAGATTTTTGAGAAACATTTCTTTAGATGTAATTTTGGCTAAGAGAAATTTTTAAAACTTTTTAAAGCATTTAAATTTTTAAGATTCAAAGTATGGGTTACAGCAAAAAATTATCTCTGAAAATATTGCGAATGTTCATTCGAATCAAAAAACCTCTAATTTTCTTCTATATTAAATACTTAGTAAATATATCCCGAGTCGAAAATATTGACGAAACGGAAAGTGTTATCCAGTAAAGTGGGTAAGTTCTTGTTGAGAATTTGCTGATAAGTTTTTAAGTCAGAACTAAAATTTCATTTAAGCATGGCCACGCGATGCATTTATGTAAATAAACCTAAAAAATATGTCGAAAAAACTGGAAGTGAAACTTAAAAGAGTTGTTCTCGCTACGGAAACTTCAATGGCACTCGTCATTCAATAGGGCAGGAGTTTTGCTAAGTCGGTTATTTGCTTTTGGTCTCACACCCCTATTGCGAGTGTCGGCTTGTTGTAGATAAACGACTATTTATTATTCGATTATCCATGGTATTTTCGCTGTGGTTTTCTCGTTCAATAAGTGAGTGTGAATTGCTTTTAGTCGCTCATCTTTCTACAAACAAACAGTTATAGAAGGGTGAATGACTAAAAATTGTTCACAGTCGCTTATTGAACGGGAAAGCCACATTCACAATACCATGGAAAACGATAATCGAGTAATAGTCCTTTATCTATTACAAAGCCCACACTCGCA